AAAACATTCCTCTTACTTGATCCATTCGGAAATAGCTCCAGCGGATGATTGTGAAAACCCAAATTAGCACCAGGATTCTTTCTATTAGCCACTGCTAGTATCAACCAATATCCATCATCTGACCGCTCAATCTTGATCTGAAATTCACACCCCAACTTTCCAGAAGAAGTAAGAGGCCTCCTTTCCTTAGCCGGATCAGAATCAGGATCCTTCGAATTTTTCTTCCTACCATGAGTGCACTTCAAGTATCGTCGCCTACTATCTTCACTTGGATTTTTTTTATTTGATGCCTTCACCAAATAAAACCCAAAACCCTTGGCAATCTCAGTAGCTGCTGCATATGCAATCAAATCTGTATCGTATTTTACTCCATTGACGAATTCTGAGGTGTAATCTTTGCCATCCCCTCCGTAATCATCAATATCCTACAATGTTAGATCTCATGATATAAGTAGGACTCCACAATAATAGAAAATCTAACGACTACATTTAATTTAATAATTATCACAAATAATTTAGCATTCTCTGTATTATCCTAAGCAAAATCCAACATTTAACACGACAAAATTTAGCATTCTCTATTATTTACATACTATACATCTAATGTAAGAATCATATTAATCACATTCTATAATTTTTTTATTGCGTATTATGCATCTAATCTTAATTTTGTATACAAAAACAATCAATTTCACAAATAATTAGGCTCATAAATTTTAAAAATAATATAAACTAAAATTCAATAAACAATCTTATAGACCAAACTATAAATGATAACAATAAAATAGAAATATTTGATATAAACTTAAAAAAACCCAAAAACCACCAATAGAAGCAAATTTTCGGTTCAACCATGGCTAAACCTAACCAAATTTTCGGTTTCACCATGGCCAAACCGAAATAAAGGTTCGGTACCACCGTGGACCAACCGAAAAAAATTTTCGTTTCACCCATGGCACAAACGTAGCAGATTTTCGGTTCATCCATGGCTCAACCGAATGTGATTTTCGGTTGGTCCATGGTTCAACCGAAACCGAATTTCGGTTGGACCATGGACCCACCGAAAATCACATTCGGTTGGGTTTTTTTTTTTTTTTTTAAAAACGAGATTTTTACCTCGTCGGAGTCGCTACTCATTGTTCGGACGTATGCTCGACGATTTCGGCTTCCAAATGTCGATGATGAATTCGAGAGTGTGGGAGAATGAGTGTTTTTTGTTTTCTAAGTGAATGTGGTGTTTGTTTGCTAAAGGAAAGGTAAAGATGTCAAAAGGTTAAAAGTGTAACTTTGTTGTTTTTTAGGACGATCATTAGTAATTGTTAGGACGACCTTTATCAACTCCCTTGTTAAATAGCTGTGTTATTTAATAAATAGTTGTATTCATAGGCATGATGCTCAAGCAACTACCATTTTACATCTTAAAAATGTTATTAAAGCCGAGCCGAACCGCTCGGCCCGACCAGTAAAACCGTCACCCGGTCACAAAATCGGCTTGGAACAGTCTAAAAGCCGCTCCGGTTTGATGTGGTGGTTAACAGGCGACCGAGGCGGTTAACCGATCGAGCCGCTCATCCGGTTTTTTCCATTCAGCAGTTAAATTTAATTAAAAAAATTACAGAAAATTGAAATAAATACAAAACGTCGGGCTCTCAAATTGAATCCTTATTTCCATTTCACAATTTCGAAGGAAAGAGACAAGCTCTGATTAAGAAAAGTCCACTATTTATACTAATAACGTTTATTAGGTACCGATGCTCTAACGGTTTTTAAACGATCTAATTCCGGTTGGACCACTAAAGTGCGAGCAGTTCGCATTACCGGGTCATGCTCCGGTTCGGTTCTGACAACATTGATCTTAACTATGAACTTCTGTTCTGCGAGCAACCGCAGACCTCAGATTGCTATATATGGTACTAGCTTGAACCCGGCCCGTTGGCCGGATAGCTGTTATAAAATACTTCTGGTTGAGATCGGGTAAACCAAATATCAAACTTAAAATTAAAAGGTAGGAACAAAGGCATGTGCAAACTGTATAGATATATTATGGACCGATGAGTTTACTGAAATAATGGGCCTTTTGTGAGCGACCCTCTGTTACAACGAATAGTACCAAAAGCCTAAAGTTATAATTGTATCTACAATTAGTATGCAAGTTAATTAGTCACAAAATAAATAATTTATTATAAGAAAAGTTATTAGTTAAATCACTTACTAAAACGTAATGGAAGAGCTACGCCAATGAAGAAAATAACCAAAATCTAGAAAAGCCCTATGAAGTAATCCACGTTCATTGACAGTAAAATAAACCTCTAAATAAAGTTCTCACAAGCCCAAATGCAAAAGACTTCCAAGTAAATAGTAGAAAAACAAAAAAGACCCTTCACTAACTCTTTAACTAAATAGTGCTTCGACTTGTGAACAACTACTTTCATAAATTTGTTGTCGAGAATAATTTGAGGACCAAATCGCAGTACTCGTGCACATCATTCTACGGCCCGACTTTGACAAACAGTCGATATACATTCCCCATGAGTGACTGGAGGATGCGAATGAAGTCATCATCGAACGGATCTCCATGAGGAAAAAGATCATGAGTGATTCTTCTAAGGTAAGTAGAGGGGGAAAAATGACCTCCACTACAGAACTTATATCCTCAACGGCAAGGTGAATTATGTGTATGCTAGAGTTCGGACACCACAAAGGATAGAAGTCAATTATGCGGCCCTCAAAAAGGTGAAGATTTTCCTTGTATTAATTAGAGAAATACACATGGTTAAACCTTTTAACAAACCTTCGCGGAACTTGGAAATAAGAGGGTTTAAAACATGATTACCATATTCTCCTCCTCCAATTGGTAGAGAATAAGATCAAGTGCTAGACAATGTTCAGCAATAGCAGCAATAACCTCATGCCCTGTTCACTTCCATTTTCGTTTCCTGTTTTCTGTTTTCATGTGATAAATTTGGCAACCGAAATGAGAAAACTTGTTTACTTTTCATTCTGTTTTCTATTCGTTTCCAGCTATGAAAACAGAAAGTGGCAACTTCCTGCTGTTTTCGGAAACGTTAAAATGTTGTTTTCACCTGTTTTCAACATCTGTTTTCTCAAAAACAGGAAACAGAAATGAAAGTAAACAGGCCCTTAATTAGCAATCGTTGTTTAGCATAACTGGATATTTTTTATTTTGGATATACTTAGAAGATTTTCGATTTTGTGCTTGTAGCTATTATAGTACACTTTTTATTTGTCATAAAAGCATTATAAAACGGTGCAACAGCTTGTATCAAAATTTTAAAATTAGTATTTTGTATTGAATTTAATCGTGATTTCATATCTCTGAGACCGCCTAGTAGGGATGGTAATATTATCCATACCCATGGGTATTTTACTATCCAACCCAATTGTGTTGGCCGTTGGGTATGGAATCCAAATAGATGTTAGATGGGTAGAGTTTAATGGATATGTACCCATATCCATTTAATTGGGTTGAGTTTTTAACATATGGATTTGGGTTTGTACCCATACCCAAATGCAAATTAGAGTTTGGTACCTAAACTTAATAGTTATGCATATTTAATACCTAATTTTTTTTTGCATATAAGTCCTCAAAATATCGATGAAAAATTGCATTTTAATACCTAAAATTTTTTGGTCTCACATTTGATGCCTAAACTTTTCAACTTTTACAAATAGGTCCAATTTTTGTATGTGTAGTTAAACCACCCTCAAGTAAATGGATATCCATATCCAACCCATACCCATTTAGATAATATCCATATCTAACCCAAAGCCATATACAAACCTCAAACCCATACACACATCACCCAAACCCTACCCATAATAAATGGGTCTACTTGGGTTTGGGCAAAATTACCCATGGGTGTGAAAATTGCCATCCCTACCACCTGGCGTCTAGGGATTGGAATTTCAATAGGCATTTTTGTGGTTTTTAAAAAATTTAGGTCGTAATTCTAATTAAGGTAGACACAGTTAAAATAATTGGACAATTGAATGAGTCATCACATAATATTTAAAATACAAACACCTACCAACTCGTATTATGAATATCTACAAGATAAAACAATATGAATAGTGTTTATATTCCAAAAAAAAAAAAAAAAGCAAAATGAAACAAGTTGGGAATAGCGAATTAGACTTGCTAGATAAGAGACGAATCTTTAAACTTAGTAGACTTATTTCCCTTGTTTTTGGGGTTCCCAAAGAAGAATGATTTCATTTGAGACACGTCAAATGGTTCTACCTCCAAGATTAAAGTACTCAGTTGAGCAAATGGAGAAAGCCCAACGAGTAATTTAGGACAACTTTCAAGCACCTGAATAATTAAATAAAAAACAGTTAGCGTTCGAACAATTCAACAAATCATCCACTGCGCAATGTTGTGAGGATAAAATAGGCTGCGAGAACCAAAATTATGTTGTTACCCTAATTGCAATTCCAATTGAATTAAAGCAAATTAGACGACATTGATAAGTTTATAATGAAAATTGTTGAAGTTCTTTCGATAAGTAGAAAACATATAAAACTTGAAAGTGAATTGCATTGATAGTGAACACAAAATTTACCTTGACAGTATCGGAATTCAGAACAAGAGTTCTTGCACGGTGCAGTCGTCGGAGCAAGTTCACTAACTGTGTCGCAAAACGATAGTCATGGTCATCCGTGAATATGTAAGCCCAGCATCCGACATAAACACGGTCGAGTGAAGGTAGATCAAACTCGCCATAGTCCGGACTCCAATATGTTTTGTAAGATATGGACTCGAGATTGGGTGCGAATATTTCGACCATAGACACATTATCTGACCCTTCAATCCTGAGATTCAACAATTGGTTCCCGCAGATTCTCAAGTACATGTCAGGGTCCTCGTCCCACTCATCATTCGTCCAGTAGCAGTGCTTGAGGGTTAGATCCCTCAGGTTTGGGAAACCGGAGAACGGTTCGACCAGTGGCTCCGGGCAAAACAACTTTGTGCGTTGCAGATGCAGAGTAGTGAGCATTCTGAAACCAGGTGCAAGGGGAAGGAATCCCTGGTCGTACACGTAATGCGAAAAGACATCCACGAGATCCTCGACGGCGCGCAACCGTCGAATCCCGTGGGAGGCCGCGTAAGCAAAGAGCTCGCCACAACTCTCATTAATGTCGTACTCGATTATGCCGCCGTATTTGTTCGTGTCATTTTCGATGCTGATCTCGTGGATCGGGGCGGATTCGTGACGGCGTGAGATGATTCCGTAGACGAATTGGTCGAATTCATCGCTGTCGTTGAAGGACTTGGTGTCTAGATTGAGGGCAGGGACGCCTTTCCAGACGGATCTCCACCGCCGGGAGAGGACGCAAGTTTGTACGGCGAGTTTCGAGTCGAGGAAGGAGAGAATGCAGCGGAGGAGATGGTCGGGAAGTTCGCTGAACCTGTCGTCATCGTCATTAATTATCCGAGCTTTCTTCAAACAGGTACATGTAGGGCAGTGGGAGCTGCTGCTGCCGCCGGTGATCATCGTGGGTTTAGTTGCTTCAATTTCTCTTCCCACCAATGATGTTCTGCTGCGGTGACTGCCTATATGTGCGAGGCAAATAGATAGAAGTTGCGGGAATTGTAAGTTGTACCTTTGAATCCATTATATAGTTTGTGCAATTCAAAACCGTTTCCTCTTTGGAAAAGGATTTCTTCCCCCTTCTTAACAGTGGTGCATTATTCATATGGAAATATTGATTTTTATTGTTAAATAAATAAATATATTATATGAGAATGAGAGTTAAACATAGTCACTGTTGGTTGGGCTTAAACCAGTACGATAGAATTTCTTAAACCATAATTTTTTCCAACTTTTGCACACCCTCACATTTAATGGAAAAAACCCCTACAAAATAAACACAAAAGGTCAGAGCTTTGTGTGCTCTGCACCAGAGAGGATGAAACTAGTGACCATCTATTCTGTTAATGCACTTGCTCTTTGGTCCAAATGTAGGATGGCTAGCAGACTGGTAGATTATGGTAAGGAAAATATTGGTTCAACAGCGGAGGGCTTATGGGGGCATTGGAGGGAGTTTATAGTGCCGGTTTGAGTTGTAGTATGGAAAGAGAGGTGTCATTGAGTGTTTGGAGCAACTGGGAGACCAGCTGTCAGTAACCTGCTGCAAATCAAAACTGATATTGCAGGTTATTGTGCAAGTTGTATCAGCTTGATCTAATTGATCAAGTAAGAGCATAATAATAAGAGAAAACAGCAATTACCGGGGAAAAAGTCCACAGAAAACTCAATTGATCATCAAGCGTGGGAAAGAAAGTAAGCAGCGAGGAAAATACCACAAGCTCTATAAGGAAATCATCATTTTTGTAACTGCAAGAATGACCCTCGTATTCTCACCTACTTTGTCCAAAAAGAACAACATCCATGACCACAGATTTGACGATTGATATCTTGTGGAGGAATGATTCGGCCATTCAAAGCTGTTGAAAACAAGAACATATCAATAGAAATATAACCCTACCTGCGCGTTCTGGGACACTTCCATTAGCATAGCAAATAATATACTAGTGGTTCAGGTCATAACAAGAAAGGATGGACCTTTCCAATGGAAAGTGACATTCCTTTTGAATCAAAGGCATAAAAGGCCAGAAGCTCCAAGCTCCTTGCTATAGGGCTCGATGTAACAACAACGAACGCATGAAGATAAGAATGAAACGATGAGACAGCGTTAATGACTGTCTAACAATAACGAGGTAAATTGGTATACTTCATCAAAAGTGACTTTTAGTGACGAATTTCAGTTGCCTTCACTAATTTTTGTCTCTAATAACTGTCTTTTTTTAGTGAGCCTATTTTTTTGGGGTTTCTTTCCTTGCGCTACCAAGGAAAGAACGTATCATTCCTTGCGCATATACGGTTTGTAAAGGTTGAACATATCATTCCTTGCGCTACTAAACTCATCATGATCTTACAGTTCTAGACTCTGATACCATGTTAGCAAACTAACCACTTAGTCCCAATTATCGAGTTGTTGGAGAAGGATTTGTTAAGCCTTTTAACCTCTTACAATGACGACGGTACAGATGCATTAGTGGACGATAGGGCTGGGAAATAGTCCGGTTCGGTTTAAACCGGACCGGATTGACCCGGTTTTTTACAACTGTATTGGAGAATTCCACAACCGAAGACGGGATTGGATTGTTACCCGGTTTCAACCGTGACCGGACTGGATTGATCCGGTTTAAACCAAAAAAACGGATCTCCTCTTCCACCCCAAAACACAGCCGTTTGAATGACAAAAAATCAGCCTATCCTACCAAACTTCAATCACTAATCTATTCCCCAACCTCAATCTTTGCCGCTGCTCCTCTCGCGATTCTTCCTTTCCATCTACTTTCGCGATTCTTCTTCTCCTTCTCCCTCTTCTGGATCAAACCAAATACACCCAAGCATCGCCTTCTTCTCCCTCGAGCACTCCTCTGGCTCTCTGCCTATGAGTTCGATAGAAGTTAGAGAGGCGAGAAGAGTTGGAGCTGGAGAAGTGGTTGGAGTCACGCGAGCCGAGAAGGGGAGATTGAGCGAGAAAGGCAGCAGACAAACTTTGGAGAGGCGATGCATGTTGCCCATCGCGTGTCAAGCGATCATATCTCCTCGGTCGCCGTCGCCGTCACCATCGCCATCGCTGGGGATTTGGAGAGCTCCGTCGCCGTCACCACTCACCATCGCCGTCGAGTTCTGGTGGCGGAGTGGCGATGGTCCGCGACGAAATGGAGGCTGGTCAGATTTTCTTCTTCTCCTACTCTTGTGTGGTGGGTCGGCGATTGGAAAAGAGAGAAGCTCGAGGGTCAGAGGGAGAGAGAAGTGAGAACAGAGGAGGCGGCGGCGATTCGGGTTGAGAACAGAGGAGGCGGCGGCAATTAGGGTTTAGGGGGGCGAGCTGGGCTGGGCTGGGGGCGGGGCGGACCGGACTCGTGGGCATTACAACCGTAAACGGGATTGGATTGGTTGAGATCCGGTTTTCAGTTGCAACCGGCACGGTTTAAATTGGCCGGTTTCCGGTTTGACCGAAAAACCGGGACCGAATTTCCAGCCCTAGTGGACGAGTAGCAACATAAGCAGCACAGTGGATTAATGATTCAATTAAGTTAATAAAATATCCATGCAACATTGTTGAACAACGTGTAATTTATTTAGAGCTCCCGAAATCTGAATCATTATGGGTAATGATAAGGTTGCATTGCATCCACTCATAAAAATGACCTGGGATAAATAATTTAAAAAGTGAATAAAGCTTCCATAGACAATACCATTTAGACACTTTTTTTTTCTTTTGCAAAGTCAAGAGTTACAGTCATACAGAAGAAAAAAGAAGAGCGCGAGAGTCAACCAATAGTCGAACTCCCGAGCCTTGTGTGCCACATGATTTGCAGCCCTATTTAATCGACGAGATACAAAACAGAAGGAAACCCAACTTAGATGAGAAGCCAAGCTCCGAATATCTTCTAGTATAGCTCCCCCAATCATGTGCCAAATTATCTCCCACCATTTAGACACTAAATTTACAAACATTTTTTGTAGGCTATTAATATAGTTATGTTCTTAAGGCAGAGGGAAACAATGAATCGTTTGTGCACTATATATGTGCCTCTCAATTGTATACATAGGCAAGTCCATTATCCATATGAAGAGATCATACTTCAAACGACCTTAACCTCATTGATTTAACCCTTCTCATCATTTCCAGTTGTGCTTCTTCAACCATGGGCTGCCATTTGATAGAGTAGCGCGCGCACACCAATATAAGAAAGACAAAACCACAAGCACTTAACATCATTTCCAGTTGTGCTTCTTCAACCATGGGCTGCCATTTGATAGAGTAGCGCCACACCAATATAAGAAAGACAAAACCACAAGCACTTAACATCAACACAAGGTAATTATCAGAACGATGGTGCTTAGTTAGTTGAAATTATCAACTTGCTAATTGAAAGGGAAGAGATGTCACCTTAGGCTTAAACTAGAGATGTCACTTTAAATTTTGTATACTTTGTTTCTTTGTTGGAAGGATTCCCGAAGAAGTAGTGTGACAACGAATAAGGTATGTCAAATAACTTTTGCTTACACTCTACATTGATGACCAAAGTCTTCAGTCGAGTAAAAGGAGAAATCTGGGATTCAAATGATTTGTGAATACTTTCAAGTATCTGAACAACAACAAACAAAAATATAAGAAAAAATGCAAAAATCATACAAATTTCATGACTTGAACAATTAATAATCAATTTAACGCAATAATAATAATAATATATTACTATTAAAAGATGCTCCCTCGATCTTTTGTTGCGTGTTATTGCAGTCAACCTCGTGACAGTCATATTTTTTCATCTCCAAATAATTTATTTTTTAAATTATATAACAACGAATAAGACAACGAGGAATTTTACAATGCTATATAGTATTGGTGCTATAGGTTTTTGTTTTTATGGTACAACTTGAAATTGTACCTTTAACGTTATGGTACAACTTCAGATTGAATTTGTACAAGTTCTTTTATGGTACAACTTGAACTTGTACCTTTATGTGATGGTACAACTTCAAGTTGTAAAGTTGTACCATAACATAATGATGCAAATTCCTTTATGGTACAACCTAAACTTATACATTTAATGTTATGGTACAATTTCAAGTTGTACATTAAAGCACCAATACTATATAGCAGTAGTGCTCTAAGACAACATGTATACTGCATATTATTTACGATTTGTTTGTATTTCTTAAACTTGCTCGCTGCAATTTCAAAAACAAGTATTTACAATTTTATGATTAGATAGTATATAATAGATCAGTTCATCAGTTACTCCTAGGTAAAAATAGATTACCTACCTCGAAGGTATCCGAATGTAGTTCAAGTGTTCTTGCACTCGCCAACCCATCAAACAATTTCATCAACCTCCCAGCGGCCACTCTTACCGGAGTTATCAACCGACCCCCATTCCTATCCTTGGAATTAGCAAGATGACGACGGCCGGAGATTCGGACACAAGCGCGATCGAGGGAAGGCATATGTGCGTCACCAAACCCCGAACGCCACACCACATCCTTGTAGCACAAGGACTCGAGATTCGGTGCGAATATTTCCACCTCTGACGGGACATCCTCAATGGTGAGATTCCGCAATTGGATCCCGGAGATTCTCACGGGAGCCGGCAAGCCGCCGTCATCAACCATCCAGTACCATCGCACCAAGGTTAAATCCCTCAGGCAGGGGAAATCCACGAAAGGGTCGACCCGGCCGCTGAGCGGGCCGGGCAGGCGCCCACCATACGCCTCCAGGTGCAGAGTGACGAGGGTTCTGAAAGCATACGCCTTCGGTACAAAGAACTTCCAGACATTTTCTGGGTCGCAATTGACTGCGCGCAAGCGCAGGAGGTTCCCGTGCGACGCGGCGTAGTCGAAGAGCGTCCCGTACATCAACTCCGCATCGATGAACATCTCGGCCCACTTGTCCAGTTGCAATTGGAAGGAAATCTCCTCGACCCCGGCGGAGTCGTAACGGCTGGAGAGGATGCGGGAGACGAATTGGCTGAAGCTAGGGAAGCTGTGGAAGGAACGTCTGTTGAGATTGAGGGCAGGGACGCCTTTCCAGACGGATCTCCAACGGCGGCAGAGGAGGCTTGTTCGGACGGTGGTTTTGGAGTCGACGAAGCAGAGGATGCGGCGGAGGACATGTTCGGGCAGCTCGCTGAGCCGATCGCCGATTCGGTGGCGAGCTCTCTTCGTAATTGTGGGCCAGCTGCCGTTGATCATCGATCGTCGTACGTGTATTCGCCTTGCCTTCCCGCCGATGATGTGAAGAGGCTTGCTGCTAAACCAGAGGTTGCGGCTATCGCGCGTTGGGGTAAAATATATATAGAGAACCTTCAGACGACACTCCTACAGTTTCTGGAATTGCTAAGATTTCGCTTTGTCTCCTTTTCTATGAATAAAAAAGATTGCCTTATTACCTAGGGCTTACGTTTCAATCTAAAAATCAATTCGATTTCTGTCTTCCCTTCTTGAAAGATATTTGCATGTGGAGGGGTTCAATTCAACAAGTTGAGCTATCGTAATGCCACATTATCATAATGTTGTTGATCCGAGCAATATTGTTAGATAACGTGGATGTTGATTGTCAGTTTGCCATAATAATATATCAACAGAATGCAGCTGACCTAAGAAGTGACATAAACTAGCGGAGCTTATGCTTAACAAGGTGAGCACTTCTACTATGCTATATAGTATTGGTGCTTTAATGTACAACTTAAAGTTGTACCATAACATTAAATGTATAAGTTTAGGTTGTACCATAAAGCAATTTGTATCATTATGTTATGGTACAACTTTACAACTTGAAGTTGTACCATCACATAAAAGTATAAGTTCAAGTTGTACCATAAAAGAATTTGTACAAAAAGTTTAGGTACAATCTGAAGTTGTACCATAACGTAAATGTACAATTTTAAGTTGTACCATAAAGGCAAAATCTTATAGCACCAATACTATATAGCATTGTAAAATTTCTCTAACAAGGTGGGTCTCTCAACCTATCTAGCTATATCTAGCTACGTACGTAACGTGTCTCTTTCACTTTGTTCCTCCCTCCCGTCGATCTCCTCAGCTTTCACGGGAACGCTGCCGTTCTCCGAATCATCACCAACGATGTTGCTCAAATACTTTTATATAATAATGAATGACTCCCTAAATTTCGCTTAGTTTTCAATGAAAGATGAGATGCAGTTAATTTATTTATGAGCTCAAATATACCTCCATACCACTAAAGCTATAATCATTGTGATCTTTAGTTGTTCACTCACCTCTGCCAATGTTTACAGGTTCATATTTTGATATGAAATTTAGATAAAGAAACTTTAAATCTCACACATTTAAATGTAGGGGATGGAAACTATGTAAATAAGTGATTGCAAATTTACTATTTTGAACCCAAAACTAAAGAAATTTAGATATCTCATTTCGCAGTAAATTAAAAAGTCTTATGGGAAAGGGATACCTTAGCGTTGGATGTGGTGGTGAATAAACAACTAATGCCAAACGTGACCTAAAAAGTTCCCTCCACTATGAATTGCAAAAAAAAACATCATTCCCAAATCCAATTTATTACCAGTCAAATCATATTTGGTAATATCACTTGAAGGTCATACCAATAAATGACTATTTAGTTTGAGTCTAAATTAGACCTATTACATTGGCTACAAAAAAATATGGCTTAATTGCAAGTTTGGTCACTCGAATTGCTAAAAAATTTCACGTTTGCCACTCAAGTTAATTTATTCCATTTATAGTCACTCGAATTAGTTGAACAGTTCAAGTTCGGTCACTCTCCGTTAATCTCCGTTAACTTTGACTGACGTGGCGGTCAACTCTGACAGTTGACCGTTAAATGTGTGACGTGCAGTGGCGGACCCAGAATTTTCGGAGAGGTGTGTCGCCGATAAAATAATGTAATAATTAAAAATTATTAAAAAATTAATAGAAATTACTAAAAATTAATTCATAAAGTTCACAATGTCATGTTTACTAGAAATGTCTGTAAATACATTCATTGCTTATGTTGCGAAGCAAATCCTTTTCGATATACACAACTAAACAATGATTCATTAAATTCGTCACTCAACCGATTTCGAAGTTCATTCTTGATTATCTTCATAGCTGAAATCTTTCGCAGCTTTCAATTGCAACAGGTAAAGTCAACACCAACTTTCAAAAGCAAGTAAAACTAAAGGTTAAAAGAAAAGGGAGATGTGGTAGTGGCTCTCGGTAATTAGAAACTAAAACGGGGTAAGGGTGAGTGTTTTATTTTCAATAAAGGAAGGGTCAAGGGGTGGAAACGGTGAGTTTCAAAGGATGGGGTTATGTTTATTTTTTCCATTGTTGGTTTGTGGTAGGGATGACAACCAAACCCGTGGTCGCGGGTACCCGACCTCCTCCGACCCAGTCAATACGGGAATCCCTGCATTGACTGGGTATGGGACGAGTATGGATAAACCCCCCCAAAAAGGTTGATGGGTATGGGGCGGGTATGGTTTTTAACTCTCCAGTCCCATACCCATAGCCAAACCCGCCCTACCAAGGATATTATGTTATATACATAAAATATAAGGAGTGTATGGTAACTTGTCAATCGAATGAAGAGTAATTAAAAGAAAAAATAAAATGTTAAAATGTAATTGATGGCAACCAAACCTTAATTTCATCCTCTTATGTATTAGTTCCATAATTTTGGGTGGGTAGTATCTGTATTTGTCACCATATTCTATTATTAATGGTGAGTAGTTGTTGGGGCGGTATTACCCATGGGTATCAGAAAACCACAAGTATGGGGATGAGTTTGTAAGACCTTTCACTGCATGGGTATGAGACGGGTATGAGTTTGAATATTTGGAAATGGGGATGAGGTTGGTTTAGGCAAACCCGCTCTATTGTCATCTCTAGGTTGTGGTGTTGGTTACTCTAAAACAAGCATACTTATTTGAATTTACTTAATATTGTGTATTACTCATTAAGATAAATAACTTTATAACAAGAAAATCATTCTCGTATAATGAAGGTGTGTCACTCACAATTATTTAAGGTGTGTCGGAAGTCCCGAATTAAAAAAATTTGTACCAAAAATATATAGGTACTTCACAAAATTTCCGGGCGAGGGTGTGTCGGACAACACACCCTGCCCTTTACTAGGTCCGCCACTAGTGACGTGGCAAATAAAAAATAATATAATAATAAATTTTAATTATTTAAAATTTACACCTCATTTTTACATACATTAATCTTTAATTGATGAAAAATCTTTCTTTTCTTCTCTTCTTCACGTAATCCGATTTCTGAAATTCTCCGGCCTCGAATATCTCTTCTGAGGAACTTCCGTCGACGTTCTAGGTGGGGAATTGAACAAAAAAATGCAGCGCTAGCCCCCGCCGCAAGCAGGCGCAGCCAAGCTCCCGCAAAGCCAAAGCCGCCGCCACCATCGAGACTGTCCGTCATACTACTCGACCAAGGAATGTTGACAGTCAACGACAGGTACAACCTTGTGAAGTTCGTGAAGCTGGTTCAACAAGCGGGTCTCTACCTTAATCTCCGGATTGGCCCTTACGTTTGTGTTGAATGGAATTTCGGGTAATTTTGGAAAACCCTGCTCGAAATTCGTCGAAAAGCTAATTCCTTCCCCCTGTTTTTTCAAATGCTCTGTTTTTGTTTTGTTTTGGGGGTGATGCAGAGGACTCCCTGTTTGGCTCAAGGATGTGCCTGGAATCTCCTTCAGAACTAACAATGAACCCTTCAAGGTAGTCGGCTGCCCTTTCTTTTTAGCCTGATTGTCAAAATTCTTTTTAAAGATCATGAGAGCTGACGGTTGTACTATGGGTGGGTCGATGGATTCAATGAAAGGCGGGCAATGCAAAATTTCACAGAGAAGATCGTCAACATGATGAAGCAAGAACAACTCTTTGAACCCCAGGGAGGTTCTAGTGGGTTTTGCGTGCTAGATCTAGTTTCTTTTCAATCGCAACATGCTGGATCTAGTTTGGTGGCCCATAAATCGCACATCGTTATCTTTCAACCCCTTTTTCTTTTCAATCCATACTTGAGCTATCAATCTCCTTCTAGTGGGTTTTGCGTTTCTGTTGCGATGGTGCTTGTGATTTGAATTTGGATTTGGATTTTTGGCAGATAAACACCTGCAATGCGTTTTACTGTTCAAGCCAAACGCGCCATACAAGCCTAAAATGTGGACTGAAGCCTGAACTGCTTGGTAAGTCATACGGGTAGTGAGTGAAAGAGAAGGGAAAGAATGGCGGGTGCTATCGCTATGATTTCAGAGGAAGTGTCGGCTCTGTTTTTCACGGTGAGAAACAGAGCATAGACGAGCTAGGAAACAGAGGAAACCCCGCAGCTGCTGTGGATTCCTCCCAAGCTCTGAAGAAACGAAGTCCCCAGAAGTTTCACGGCGAGCCAGAATACGATCCGGAGAAAGGCCTCGCTCCGGCAGAGAGTTAGAGCAAAGATGTTGGCTATTGGAAACAGAGCAGCTCAGTTTCTCGCGTAAGGGAAGTTTCCGGTGGCGGCGAGGACTAAAGCGAGGATGTTGAGTGTTAAGCAAACTGTGAACAGCCGTTTGTAGACTGTCAACATTCCTTGGTCGAGTAGTATGACAGACAGTCTCGACGGTGGCGGCGACTTTGGCTTTGCGGGAGCTTGGCTGCGCCTGCTTGCGGCGGGGGCTAGCGCTGCATTTTTTTGTCCAATTCCCCACCTGGAACATCGACGGAAGTTCCTCGGAAGAGATATCCGAGGCCGGAGAATTTCAGAAATCAGATTACGTGAAGAAGAGAAGAAAAGAAAGATTTTTCATCGTTTAAAGATTAATGTATGTAAAAATGAGGTGTAAATTTTAAATAATTAAAATTTATTATTATATTATTTTTTATTTGCCACGTCACACATTTAACGGTCAACTGTTAGAGTTGACTGCCACATCAGTCAAAGTTAACGGAGATTAACGGAGAGTGACTGAACTTGAACTATTCAACTAATTCGAGTGACTATAAATGGAATAAATTAATTTGAGTGGCAAACGTGAAATTTTTTAGCAATTCGAGTGACCAAACTTGCAATTAAGCCAAAAAAATATCAACTCTAATGTAATTTTTGCAATTTTTATTTTGTATAACAAACATAAATGTGGAAACACCGATAATGAAGGTGTGAATTGGTTTAATGTGAATAGCTAGATGGTCGATATTTCTTTATAGGTATAATTATATGATCTCAAATAGACTCAAAATATGGGTTCGACCCGAATAAATGTTTTTCTGTCCTAGGTCTCTCCCCCATTCCATAATTAGTAAATTAAAGTAATCTGGCCAACGGGCTGGGTCAAAGCTAGTTTTATTTGGTTGCAATGGAGTAGCTCTGTGATGCTGCTCGTGTGGGTATGCGAAGACGAAGAAGAGGGAGATATGGTTAACGCGGGGAAAAGACGGCCAATCGTTTCTCTACCCCTCGATTTTCCAGAAACCACCCTTGTCGGTGAAGAAACGCTGTTGCAGAGAGAAGGCAAACGTGGATGGAGATGGATTTTTTGTTTTAATTGTATTGCTAAGTGAAAAAAATCTTTGGCCTAAATTCCACGTTAAATGTCACATCGTCGGTCAATTTTGACTGCTAATTACTAACGGTCAAAGTTAACGGAGACTAGATGTTGGGACATAACGAACACATGACAAACATAGGAGGTATAAGTGACAGAAAGTCTAAACTATATGTTATCTTTAGCGGGGTGGACAAGATGCGAGGTTAGATTGTGCAGTGTCTTTCCCCTTCAATTTCAATGGCGGCCTCATTCTGATATGAAAAATAGTATGTGATGATGCGATAATGTGCTTATAATACATGGGCAATTATGATATGAAAATAGTAGAGGGGCATATTTGATAAAATTACATAGTAGAGGGGCATATTATACCTATAACCCCTTTTTTCAAAAGATAATCATATATTGATTCACAGAAAATGCAGTTACATCCTGGAATTCAGCCAAGCCTAGAAACCAAAGAAACGACTCATAGTCGGGACAATGAAAGGGCCTTCTAGCCACCAAATGAGCTACCCAATTGCAACGCCGACCTACAAATCACACACTACGCCCAGAATGGAAGGCAAAATAATGCAGAATTTCTTCAAGAATAGCCCCCATCCGGGTATCACTAGTTTGGCCCGATTGATCTTGTCAATGATTACTTTGGCATCTCCCTCAAATCTAACTTCCTTAAAGCCATGCTCAAGACACCAACAAATAGCCTCCCGGAGGACAAGCAATTTGACCATAGGGTGATCAATACACGGAAACTGAACACCCTTAGCCAACAGAATCTCCCTTGCTGGGGTCATAAGCCTCATCCCTCCTGCCGAGTGAGACCCACACCGGGTAGCCCCATCCCACATGCACACCACCAAATTAGTTCTCACAGGATTCAAGTGATGTGGCGACGGAACGGAGGGAGGAATAACTTGGTCCACCGGCGAACTTATTCATTCCTCATATTGTTATTTAAATTGTCGCATCAAGGTAGGGATCCAAGCTGTTTCCCCTCGAAGACAATCCAGTTTCGAGACCGCCAGATCCTCCAAAAGACAGCAACAAGGGCCCGATATGTAAATTGTAAAGTGAGTGACTAATAAGAAGAAAAAAATTGGATGGCTAATATTAAAAAAATTGATAAACCGAATGACACTTAATCCAATTTAGAGACAAACCAAAAATTGAGGTATAAACCTGCCTCAAAAGTCAAATAACTCAAACCTAATTTAAGCCATACTAAAATGGGTTTGGACAATATTCAAATATGAAGAGATCATACTTCAAACGACCTTCACCTCATTGAGTTAACCCTTCTTCATCATTTCCAATTTTGCTTCTTCAACCATGGGTGGTCATTTGATAGGGTAGCGCTACACCAGTATAAGAAATGCAAAACCACAAGCACTTAACACCAACACAAGGTAAATTATCAGAATGATGGTGCTTAGTTAGTTGAGATTATCAACGGGCTAATTAAAAGGAATGAGATGTCACCTTGAACTATATAGGAGATGTCACTTTAAATTTTGTATACTTTGTCTCTTTGTTGGAAGGATTCCCGAGGAAGTAGTGTGACAATGAATAAGGTAAGTCAAATGATTTTTGTTTACACTCCAAACTGATGATCAACGTCTTCAGTCGAGTAAAAGGAGAAGTCTGGGATTCAAATGATTCGTGAATCCTTTCAAGTATCTGAACAAAAACAAACAAAATCATAAGGAAAAACATAAAAATTCATGACTTAAACCATTAATAATCAATTTAACTCAATAATATTACTATTAAAATATGCTCCATTGATCTTTTGTTGCATCACCAATCAATCTAGGTTTTCAACTATATATATAACAATGAGTAATACGAAAATTTAGACAAAAATTAATAAAATTAGTATGTATTTCTGAAACTCACTTGCTACTACTTTAGAAATTTGTTTAATGATCATTATTATTAAGACAATTTTTTTAAAGTAAATATGCATGTTTCTATAGACACTATATCATTTCAAAAAACAAATATGACTAATTTGATTATCGGAGTATAATTCAATATGAAACTGTGCCATATATATATATATACACCCAAAATAGATAGTATATAACAGATGAGATTCCTTGCTCCTAGAGGTAGAATAGAATAGATCACCTACCTTGACGGTATCCAAATGTAGTTCAAGTTTTCTTGCACTGTGCAACCCTTGAAACAATTTCATCAAACTCCCAGCGGCCTCCCTCACCGGAGTTATCAACTTAGCCGAATCCCGGTTCACCGGAATGGCAAGATGACGATGGCCGGAGATCCGGACACAAGCGCGATCGAGGGAAGGCATATAATGTGCGTCACCAAATCCCGAACGCCACACCACATCCTTGTAGCACAAGGACTCGAGATTCGGTGCAAATATTTCGACCTCTGGCTCGACGTATTCAACGGTTAGATTCCGCAATTGGATCCCGGAGATTCTCACGGAAGCCTTGAAGCCGCTGTCGTCAACCACCCAGTACCACCGCACCAAGGTTAAATCCCTCAGGCAGGGGAAACCCGCGAACGGGTCGACCCGGCCGCTGCCCCGGTCGGTCAGTATCTGACCACCATACGCATCGCACCCCTCCAGGTGCAGAATGATGAGGGTTCTGAAAGCATACGCCTTCGGTACAAAGCACTTCCAGACATGTTCTGGGTAGCAATCGACTGTGCGCAAGCGTAGGAGGTTCCCATGCGACGCGGCGTAGTCGAAGAGCCTCCCGTACATCAACCCCGTCTCGGTTAACGGGCTCGGCCACGTGTCCAATCGGAAGGTGATCTCCTCGATCCCGGCGGAATCGTGACGGCGGGAGAGGACGTGGGAGACGAATTGGGTGAAGGTAGGGAAGCTGTGGAAGGAACGCCTGTTGATATTGAGGGCAGGGACGCCTTTCCAGACGGAGCTCCAACGGCGGGAGAGGAGGTTTGTTTGGACGGTGGTTATGGAGTCGACGAAGGAGAGGATGCGGTTGTAGAAAGTGTATGGAAGGCAAAGGTTGATCGAAAACCCGCAAAAGCCAAACAGCTGCAGGGTTGGTTCGTTTATAAAGGGTTTCAAGTTTTCCTGTGCTCCAACGGTAAATAAAATGGAAAAACAAATTCACCCTGACACGTGATGATTGCTAACAGGCTAATGTGGAACCAACTCCACTTACAAGTAAAACGACGACGCGTTCCAGACAAAGGCTCGAAACGTTTCCCATACAACGAATCGTCTTCGAGTCCGAAACGCATTCTTCAGCTGTTCTTCATTTCCAGTTCTGCTCTGCATCTTCGATTCAATTCAGCTCTGCATCAGTGCTTCATCTTCATGAATCTCAGCTTCATCATCTTGACAGCCTCCCTCAAGCTGGAGTGTACTAACTCCAAGCTTGTCCAACAATTCTCGGATTCTGTATCTGCTTAGAGCTTTAGTAAACAGGTCTGCAACCTGGTCAGCAGTTCGAATGTAAAGCAATTTAATCAATCCAGATTTCACTCTTTCACGAGTCACATGAATATCAATTTCAATGTGTTTCGTTCTTTCGTGAAACACTGGATTCTCAGCAATGTGAATTACTGACTTGTTATCACAAAACACAGAGATAGGCAGCTGCACATTCACACTCAATTCAGCAAGTAAGCCCTTCATCCATTGTAATTCACACACTAGTTGAGCCAAAGCTCTGTATTCAGCTTCTGAGGAAGATCGTGAAACAGTGGTCTGCTTCTTTGCTTTCCAAGTAACAAGCGAGCTTCCAATGAAGCTGCAGTATCCACTAACTGACCTTCTGGAATCTGGACAACTAGCCCAGTTAGAATCACTGTAACCTGACAACTTCAATGTGGAATCACTCTTGAAATAGATGCCCTGATTTGGTGACCCTTTAATGTAACTGAGGACTCTAAAAGCAGCTTGCAAATGCCCTGTATAAGGCTCTTTCTGGAATTGACTGAGCTGCTGCATTGGAAAGGTTAAATCAGGTCTAGTAGTAGTAAGATAATGTAACCTGCCAACTAATCTCCTGTATTGCTCAGGATCTTCAAGTAAAACACCATGTTTGGCCCTCAGTGTAACTTTTGGATCCAATGGTGAAACACAAGGCTTGGCATCCTGATAACCAGTGTCTTTCAACAGCTCTAAGCAGTATTTTCTTTGATTCACTGCAATTCCATCATTGCTTCTAGCAATTTCAAGACCTAGAAAGTACTTTAACTCTCCTAGGTCCTTGATCTTGAAATTCCTACTGAGATACTTCTTAACTTCCTCAACATCTTCCTTGTTGTCTCCTCCCACAATAATATCATCCACATACACCAGCAACACCACAAAACGTCCATGGACCCACTTTGTAAACATGGAATAGTCTGAAACAGACTGTGAAAAACCATGTTGCAGTAGGGAGGAAGTCACTTTTGCAAACCACTGTCGACTTGCCTGCTTTAGTCCATATAGGGATTTCCTTAACCTGCACACAAGCTTCTCAGGTCCATTTCCTCTTGGATCACCTGGTGGCAACACCATATATACTTCTTCTTCAAGGTCTCCATGCAAAAATGCATTGGAGACATCCATCTGATCCAACACCCAACCCTTATTAGCAGCTACAGCCAGCAATGTTTTAACAGTATTAATCTTAGCAACAGGAGAATAGGTATCCAAAAAATCTATACCATAAACCTGTGTGAAACCTTTGGCTACCAGCCTTGCCTTAAACCTTTCAATGCTCCCATCTGGTCTTCTTTTGATTTTAAACACCCATTTGTTACCTATAGCTCTCTTGCCTTTAGGTAGAACAACAACATCCCAGGTGTGGTTCTCCTCCAAGGCCTGAGTTTCTTCATTCATGGCCCTGTTCCAATGCTCACTAGTTGCTGCTTCTTGATAAGAACATGGTTCAACCTCATGTAACACACTCATGATGTAACTTCTGTCAGCTGGAGATAACTGCTCAAATTCCAGATATTGCTCCATGGGATACTTGCTAACACTACCAACCTGGTAGTCCTTAAATTTTACTGGCAACTTGCCTCTATTAACTCGAATAGGCCTGCCCTCAAATTCTTCTTGTACCTCTAGTTCAGGAGCATCATCAACAGCATCAACAAAATCCTCCAGATAGACAGACTTATCATTAGCAGAACTAGGCAAAGGGGAATGACCAGAGGGAGTATTAGAATTGGAAGGGTTGACTGCTGGGGGAGAAGGAGGAATTGAGGGAGAAGTAGAAGTGGATGTACTGGCCTCCCCTGATCCCTCAATTTGAGAAGAATTGGGTTGGTAAACTGGTATACTGTGAGGTGCTAGGGATGGAGAAATGGGAGGGGAAGAAGAAGGAGGTGGTGAATCAGTTGAGGTAGTTCGAAAAGGAAGAATGTTCTCATGGAAGACAACATTCCTAGAAATGAAAACCTTTTTGTTCTCAAGGTCTAAAAGGGTGTAACCCTTAATCCCAGCAGGGAAACCAAGAAAGACACATTGAGAGGATCTGGCTTGGAATTTAGTACGACCATGAACCAAGGTAGAAGCATAGCAAAGGCACCCAAAAACCTTTAAAACATTGAGGTCAGGAGGTTTATGGAAGAGTAGTTGGTAAGGGGAATGGTTTTTAAGAACTGGAGTAGGCAGCCTGTTAATCAAATACACTGAATGAAGTATACAAGCACTCCAGAACTTCAAAGGGACTGTTCCTATGTGGCTCACTAGAACTCGTTGACCATTAGGCAAATAAACAAAGGTATCAAAAATTTCAGTATAAGAAGAAAAATGGTTTAAACAGCATGTAATATGATCTGAGGCCCCAGTGTCAAGTATCCATATAGTTCTCAAGGCTGATTTATCTACAGTACTGTGTGAAGAGAGCACAAACTTACCAGCATGATCGGGAAGTGCAGGTAAGAATGAGACACAGAATAAGCTGTAGGAGTAATCCTTGGTGAGCTACCTGGAGACAAAGGCCCAGTATCCATGCCAAACTGAAGAAGAGATTTGAGGCGATTGATATCGTCAGAGGATAGAGCATTCACACCCTTAGAGGGACTAGGGCTGTCATCAGAGATGCTACTAGTACTGTCAGAAGATGGGGCTGCATTATCTGTGGAGACAGGACCAACAAAACTTTCCTTTTCTTGTTCCTTCTTCTTTAACTTCCAGCAGTCTTTGATAGTGTGATCTGTTCGTTTACAATACCTGCAAAAGAGTTTCCCTGATCCAGCTTCTGACCTCCCTTTAGACCGATCCCTATCATACTGATTACCAACAGCAAGAGCAACAGATTGACTGTTCTTAGACTTAGTCAGATCCCCTTTCAGCTTTTGTTCATATAAAAGCAAATCATCAACAGCAGCGGTAACAGTGGGTAAAGGTTTCATCATGAGTAGTTGCGTCTTTACAACCTCATACTCCTTATTAAGCCCTCTTAAGAAACGAATTAGATAATCAGTCTCTTGCTTAGTTTGGAAAGCAACCACAGCAGGGCAAGGAACAGGATTATTAGGAGCACAAGGACAGGGAACAATAGGGCAAAATTGCAGATAATCCTCCCAGAATCCTTTAATCTCAGTGTAGTACTGAGTAATGGTTCGATCACCCTGTTTGCAAGCATGAATCTCATCCTCCAAATTGATAATACGCAAAGCATTAGGTTGCCCAAACCGTCTTTTCAGTTCATCCCACAGAACACGAGCATTCTCGTGATTCAGAACACTAAGAGCAATTTCCTTCTTCAAGGAATTGACAATCCAACAAAGAACAACAGTGTTACAACCATCCCAGAGATGGAAATGAGCACTACCAGCTGGCGGGACAGGGATAGACCCATCAATGAAACCCAGCTTGTGCTTGGTTTTCAACGCCAGACGCATAGATCGACTCCACATAGAATAGTTAGTAACATCCAGAAGCTCAGGGACGAGTGACTGAGACAAATTCTCGTTGGGATTGAGATAATAAGGGTTACCAAACTGGATCTCACCTCTGCCAGCCTGAGTCTGATCCTCGTGAAAGCTGCCGAACTGAAAACCACCACCACCAGTAGAGACTCCACTGTTAGGAGGAGTAGAAGGAGAGGTGGTAGCCATTGTTGCCAAGGATCAGATCTGAGGCTCTGATACCATGTAGAAAGTGTATGGAAGGCAAAGGTTGATCGAAAACCCGCAAAAGCCAAACAGCTGCAGGGTTGGTTCGTTTATAAACGGTTTCAAGTTTCACTGTGCTCCAACGGTAAATAAAACGGAAAAACAAATTCACCCTGACACGTGGTGATTGCTAATAGGCTAATGTGGAACCAACTCCACTTACAAGTAAAACGACGACGCGTTCCGGACGAAGGCTCGAAACGTTTCCCATACAACGAATCGTCTTCGAGTCCGAAACGCGTTCTTCAGCTGTTCTTCATTTCCAGTTCTGCTCTGCATCTTCGATTCAATTCTGCTCTGCATCAGTGCTTCATCTTCATGAATCTCAGCTTCATCATCTTGACAGCGGTGGAGGAGGTGTTCGGGAAGTTCGCTGAGCCGATCGTTGATCATCGTCGTGTATTTGCCGCCGATCGATGATGTGAAGAGATCTGCGATAAACAAGAGATTGCGGCTCTCTCGGCCGGGTTGGGGTAAAATATATATATAGGAAACCTCAAGAGACTCTCCTTACAGGTAGGGCTGGAATTTCGGTTACTTCGATTATAACCGATAACCGAACGGTCGGTTACCGGTTAAACGAGATGACAGCCGACTCTACGGACAACCGCCCGACAGTCCGCCTCGGTTATCCGACAACCGACCGGTCGGTTACCGGTTAGTTGGTCGGTTAACCGCACTAACCGCACAACACAGTCGTCGGAAAGGAATGGCGCCGGCGGAGGAGATGGCGGGGTTGCACAGGCAACAGAGGAGGACTGCTGGCTGGGCTGCGAGCAGAGGATACCGAGACGAGGTCGCGGCTGCGGAGCGAAGGGGATGGCTGGCGGCGGCTTCGCGTTGGCAGAGCAAGGGGCTGGCGGCGGCGACATCTCTGCCTCTCTGGTTCGTCGTCGTCGTGGCTGCTGGCTGCTCGTGGGCTGGTCGTCGGGGAGGAGATGGCGGAGCAGAAGGGCGCGCGAGTCGGGGAGGGAGTCGTTTTTGTCTTTGTTCGCTTACCTCCTAAAAAGGAGAGGTGAGAGGCCGATTTACAACAGCCGTTGACCTCAGACTTTAAACTCCTACTAGGGGCTGGTCGTCGCTCTCGTGCTCCGCTGGGGCCTCCTGGGAGTGGGAAGAAGAGAGAACGATGGTCTCGTCGCCGTTCAGGGCTGGGCAGGCAGCAGGGAGAGTGGGTTCAGGGCTGGGTATCGTCGCGATGCAGAGAGAAGAGAAGGGAAGGCGGCGTCGATTAGGGTTAGGCTTCGTCGATTTTAGGAAATATGAAGTGGGGGTGGGGCGGCGTCGCGGAATGAGGGGAGGGGGGTTAATTGCTCGGTTAGCCGGTTAACCGACGGTTATCACCGTCGGTTAGCCGGTTAGGTTGCCGGTTAACCGACCAGTTCAACCGATAATCGGCGGTTACCGGTTAACCGACTAACCGAAAAAATCATCCGCGGGCGATTGTCGGTAGCTGGGTTAGCTACGCCGGTTAGTCGATTAACCGGCGGTCGGTTAGCTACGCTGGTTAGCCGGTTAACCGCCGATTATCGGTTTAACTGGCCGGTTAACCGGCAACCGATAACCGAACGTCCACAACCGTTGTGGAATGCAAAGATTTTGCTTTATCACCTTTACTATAAATAAAAAAGGGTTGCTTTTATTACCTAGGGTTTAAGTTTCAACTTCTTGCCTCAATTCCATTCTAAAAATCAATTCGATTTCTGTCTTTCTGAAGATTAAGAGGTTAATTGATACTCCACAAATGACAAAGAGCCAAATAATTATGACTTATCCTTATCTGATGACCGCTTGCGCGATAAGTTGGCATTGCAAGTGGTGCTGCTCGTATGGATCTAGTTGCATCCCCATTCAGATCTTGACAAAACTGTCTTGTCTCTTTATTCTTAGAAACTAACAAAATTGTCCATTTAGTGGCATAAACTGCTCTTTCATCGTCAGTTCAATTAGTATCGATTGACGTTATTTTTACCCATTATAATCATATTTGTCTACTATTTCATCTGACTATCATATAAAAAGTTATGCAGAAGAGTAACTAGGAACGGTCCGGAAAAAGGATGAGTAACGAAGTACTAATTAGGTACGACTAGAAGGAACTATGACAAAGAGGTCAAATACTACATCTTGACAAAATCAATAATGGGTTTGACACTAGAAGAACCTTTTAAGTTTGAACAAGTAATTGGCCACCTTGTAATGTATGTCGTTTGGGTAAAGGAAGTACCATAACAGAACAGAAACCAACTCAAATTCTTGGGGCAACCTTTCAATTTAGATTAACTGCATATCAAAACAAAGTATACCTTGATACCTTGATGATTTCAGAATGCAGCGTCAGAGATGCTACATTACACAAACCTCTGAACAAGGAGATCAAGCGTTGCTTCTCCCATTCAATGGCGTTGCCGTCCTCTTCATCATCGTTGTCATCCAGGGGATGTACCAAAATATCAAGCATGATCAAGGGAAGGAACACTTAAATCTAAGGATTCCAATGATATAAATTTGTGTTCCTTGAAATGGAACGACTTGAGTTTTGGGGCGAACACTTCAAACTCGATAGATTTGAGCAACAAGCTAAGTAATTCTAGCCTTGAAACCTTGAAATGCCTTTCATGCATATCATCAGTAGGCATATTAGTGCCTTGTTCCACAACCACATTTTGAAGGCACGGGAAGGTAGAGAACAGATCAATGTCCTTCTCCTGACCAAAAGACAGCACACAATAGTCCAACTTCAATGAGGTCGGCATCCAAAAACCGAAAAACCTGAATCCACTATCGATGGCGAGGAAACCGAATTCTAAGCTTCTGAGATTGCAATTGGAGGAGCCGAACAAATCATAGACTCGGTAATAGTGATCGACATCCAAACCATGGTCCAGTCCAATCAATAAATGTTTTGCATCATGGAGCAAGCCATACTCGATGACCCTAACGAACTAATCATCATCTGCTTCCTCTGAACAGTCCATCCACCACTCCCTTCTATATCGCTCTGATAAATAGCTCGACTTGTGGACATTAACTGGATAACAAAGTGACAGAACCTTGCCAACATACCTTCAGAAAACTCGAATGTTGCCCGAAGGATTTGCCACAAAAATTGAGAACCGGGACGTGTTTCCAAGTGCATCGTCATACTCAGGACAACACAAAGGTCTGGACGGCCGATTTGGTGTCCAGAAACGAAAAGATGTGATAGATAACAGGTTCTGGGAGACGGGCTGATTTTGTGTCCAGAAACAAAGCTACATTTGATGGAAGAAAGTACGAATCCCCCGGAACTAACAGATCCGGAAATGGTGCTACTTCTACAACTGTACAGCCATCACCATGTACTGGAAAAGCAGGACCAAGAAGGGCATTTCAACAGCTCTATCTGGTTTGCTAAGGACAGCTCCTCTATTGTATATGAACCACCCTGAACCATCACAGGCTCCAATCTTCATATATGATAACGTTGTTCTTTGCTGTACTTAGTTTCCTCACACATTCTGCATCCTTGTGATATCTGCCCCAGAACAATTATTCTCGGATGCAAGACAGTTCGATCGGCTTATCTAATAGATCAAGAGACAGACACAGATTCATACTACAGAAAGGAACAAGTTAAGCTATTACAAAGTGGCAAAGTGATTCAAAACACTCTGTTAATCAAAACAGTGAGTAAAGGGAGACACTGACCAGTTGCATACACGGATGAGAAACTTGGCAAACTGGTCAATTACCACTAGGGCTAGATGAATTCAACATTTGGACTCGTACTAGAAGATCCTTTAAGAAAGTAGTCGACGTGTTCATAACGTACACTCTCAAAATCCAGAATCAATGACTTCAATCTTGTAAAAGGAGATGGCTGATCTTCCCAGACCCCATGAAATTCACTCATTAGCTGCATAGAGAACAGAAACGTCAAAGGTGAGTGATACCATCATAAGGGAACGCTTAACACTTGATATGCAAAGAGTCAAAAGCGCTACCTGAAGGATACCCCCATTCAGCTTCAAAGATTTTGCATTCTGCAAGCATTGGAACATGGAGATCAGCCGAAGCATTATGAGTTCCTTTTTCTCTCCATGTACAAAACCCTGCTTCACCTTGTGGAACCCAATATCAGCATAATCAAGGGACGGTAGGCTTAAATCGGACAACCTTATGCATGCCACGTAATCCAAAAAACTGAATAATTCCAGCTTTGGTGCATATATGTCAATTTTGTCAAACACAGCACATTCCAGTTTCAAGCTAAGCAATTCGAGTCCGTGTATCTTTATACGTCTTTGAGTATTAGTATCACTATCATCACAACAGAGACAATCAGCCACGACCAAATGCTTCAGACAAGGAAAATTTGAGAAAGGTTCAAAGACCACCTCCTCATCACCACAGGCAACAAGACAAGTCACCAGTTTCAAAGTAGTCAGCATCCGGAAACGAGGAGATCTGAACCCAATATCCAGGTAGAATCCTCTTAATTTCAGGGTTTTGAGATTGCAGCTCGAGATCCAGCCAAACAAATCGGAGAATCTGTAGATGTCCAGGGTAGTCAGATCACTTTCAGTGGCAATCGCTAAATGCTGAGTATCATGGGATAAGGCATATCGGATGACCCTAATCACCAGAAGATCGCTTCTTCCATCCCTAAGCTCATAATCGACGAATCTTACCTTATGGAGACTCAGGGGATGACGAAGGCACAAAACCTTGTCCACATACCTGTGGAAACTCGAGTAAATTTGGAAGTAGCTTTGTTGGAAGTTCAGAACGGGGACATGTTTCCAGGCGAATCTCCACAATCGGGACAGCACAGAGGTCTGAACGGCCAATTTGGTGTCGAGAAATGAAAGGATGTGATGAATAACGGGCGCCGGAAGATCGCTTAACCTGTCACAGCGTCTTTCCTTCCCTGTTTCCTTGCTTCCGTTCATTAGGTTTTCTGCCTGAGACCGACTACTGATAATTTCGATTCTGAGAGCCTGAACTGGATAAACTCGAAGGATTAGAACCAGGAAAACAACTCAAATCCTCAGGGAAACTCGAGCGTTACCGTGGAAATAAAAGGGGCGTAGCCAGGATCTCCTTTAGCTGGGTGTCTGGGTTGGAAATGAAGGGATGGATGAATGTAGAAATGAGAATTGTTTCATTTTAAAAAAAGACAATTAAAAATGAGGTAATTTGAATTACTTATTTCCATTCAAACTATTGAAGTTGATTCAAAATGGATCAATTCAAAATATTTTCGTATCCATTTAAATTTTTTGCTATTAAACAATGTTGCTGGCTTCGAGCGCGAAATGCCTGCACCTACTTGAGGTTTCTATCTCCCCAGTTCAGCTGTAAGGCTGAAACCCTAAATCGATTTTGGCCAAGAACAGGTGAAGGACAACGAAAAACTGAAAGAAATGTACAAAGTAAAACTAGTAAAGAAGAGAGATATAATTTGGGTCTGTCTTTCTTAGTGACTGGGCTTGAATCCTTTAGCCCAGTCAGTTATTTGTTCCGGCCCGAAAGTATTGCACTGTCAAGTTACTCTTTCCAAAGCTGTGCGTTTTGAGATTGTAAACCCAACTCCTTCTTCGTGATTCTTCGAGCCAATTCCCCTGTTTCCAGATTAACTCTCTGAAACTTTGCAGAAGCAGAGTAAGTTTCGAACACAAACAATAAGCCATAAAAGATAAATGAACACAGTCACTTTTTACGTGGTTTCCAGAGTTGGGTAAAGAGAATCCCAACTCTGACTATTCCACGGTCGGATGATCACGATGAGGTGATTTCCGACGTTCCACTAAGCTCGAAGTTCGTCGAAGTTATACAAGCATACAGCACCGAAATCAATCAATCCAATCCTGGAAAGTTGATTGTTTCAACTCAACCCTGATATCTTACCTAGGGTTGGGAAACGGTGCGGTCTGGTCCAGACCAGACCATATATACGGTCTATGGTCCAAACCGAGAGGTTAAAGTATAGACCACAGACCAGACCACAGACTATACGGCCCGGTCCAGACCACGCCTGTGCGGTCTGGTTTGGTCTGGTCCAGATAGACCACACTCAAAGAAAAATGAATAATTTGTTTAGTCAACCACACAAAAAATTGCACCAATAACCAAGAAAAATAATTGTTATTTGCCTTAAAACATTAATCTTAACATGCATGAATAATATTGATATCCTAAATCTTAGAAATAACAAAAATACAAAGTAAAAGCATACAAACTTGCACCATAACGTTATACACATTAACATAATGTCATATGGAGACACGATTATCTCTACTCTCTAGTTAAATGTGGTTGTGAATGAAGGAGGGACGAGATTCTCAAAATTAAGGTTGAGATTTGGGTGTCGTTGTGTGAGTTGGGAGGGTGATCGAATGGGCTATTAACACGTATTGACAAGTCGGTTGGGTCCACGGTTTGGTCCGGTAAACCGCGGTCTAGACCAGACCAGACCAAGAGATCAAAACATAAAATAAACCAGACCATACTTAACGGTCTACGGTCCAGACCAAACTGTGCGGTACGGTTTGGACCACGGTTTTTCTAACGGTCTGGTGTACCAGCCCTAATCTTACCAGCTATCCAGCTTCTGTGTTTCACTCAACACAGCCCTAACCCAAATTCTCTCCAGAAGATGAATTAGTCTCTCTTTTCTTATCAATCACACTAGCTATGATCTTAGCTTTCCTAGTATGAGTGACCTCCAGAAAAGTGACGATCTGCTTGCTTCCTTCAGCCTTTTATTCTGCAACTATTGTGTCGTTGCTCCTTGCCTTCCTTTTCTTCCTTGAATTGGTTTATGGTAAGTACTTTGAAAACTTTCCTTCTTGTGTTTTCAAACCGTTCCCAGCATTCTTGTTCTGCACGAAACTTAAGCAAGTTTTAGCTCTTTTTGACAAGCTACTTCCAACAAACGAGTCAATTTGTGACAATCATCTCAAAACGAGACAATTGCGTCAAATTGATCTGTTACAATTCCTCATCCAAACGATTCCGAAAATATATGAATAATCTACTATTCGGAGGAGATTATTGGCCAGGTAGGAGCGGATGTTCAACAACGTCCTTATTCACTGCATTCTAACTACGAATCGGGTTGAGATTCGCCGTTCAAGTTTGGGTCGGATTTTATCCTCCACATGGCAAGTCGGATTGGGATCTGCTTTGCCATCCTTATTAGAGAGAGAGAGAGAGAGAGAGAGAGAGAGAGAGAGAGGATACGAAGGCAGAGGGACTGTTTTACAAAATGAAAATGGGTGGCGGCACTTGGGATATGAATGACAATGGGACAGGTTCGAGACAGGTATCTTGATACCCATACCCGTCCTGTGGCACGTTGGGTCCAGGAAGAGTAATTCATTACAGGACGCGAGTTGGGGCAGGTCGACCCATATGGGTATGTAATTTAAAAAAAAAATATTAGAAATTTTCAAAATTTTAAAGGAAAATTTTCAAACAAACTAAAATATGATAAATGTAGTTAAAATATTCAAGGAATTAAGATTCTCACCTATTTACAACTTCATTATAGCTAAAATATGATATTACAAAAGTAAAATTATAAGTATTTTGAGTAAAATTACATATAATATCGAACCTCGAAAAAGGTCAAACATATCGCCTAAAACAGTCAGGTGAAAATTGACATCCTTGTTTAGGGGTGGAGAGAATATAAGGGTTTCGATTAATGATTATTGTTTTTACCAAATCAACCTTTAATTAATGTTAACCATAAGGTTAGATTGTCATCCTACAGCTAGAAACACAGTTAGCATGTCCAGAGATTAGCACCTAATCCGAAACACAGTTAGCATGGTACTAACCTCTTCAGAGATTAGCACCTAATCCGACTCCGACGAACACAGTGAGACATCAACATTTTTCCCAACTAAAAAGTATAAACAACTCCAAATCTCCAACAATGGTCATTTACTATGTTCAACCTAAGATAACTGATACAACTAACATACATCCTTTAAAAAAAAGTACCCACAACACTACAAGTGACATGATAGCACTCAAGGTTGTTCCATATGGTTATGGTACAACATCCAGAATTCGTTGCCAAGCCTGGATTTGTAGTTGAGCCTAGAAACTTCAGTATGATGGACTTGTTGAATAATGACAGTAGCCATTCGTACAGCGCCAAATCTGCTAAGTAGGGCTAACCTGGAGCTTTCCTTTTGAATCATGACATGAACGCGCTGGCCTCTGGGTACGCCATGCCTTCTTGTCAAAGTCAATAACTGGTTCGGCACAAGATCCTTTAAGAAAGTAATCCAGCACATTGTAAGGTAAAGGTACTTTATTTGAATGTCGATTCATAAATAGATTCACATGCTTCAATCTTGTAAAGGGAGAGAGTTGCTTTTGGAGAACCTCATCAAAATCACCAAGTAACTGCATGAAAGGAAAAGAAAAATAACCAACTTAAGACCTGAGGTAAAATATCGTGGATCAAGTTACACTACATTAGCCACATTCTAAAACCAAAAGAATATATATACCTGGATGATCCCATACAAAGACAGAGTTTCTGCATTATGCATCCCTTGGACCAAGGAGAACAAATTTTGTGCCATCCATTCTTTCTTCCTCTCTTTCATATCACTATGTATGACAAGAAGCTCAGCATGATTGAGGGAAGGAAGATTTACCTCCAAAAACTCTGACGAATGAAGTATATCATCCCTCAAATAGAAGTACTTTAGTTTCGGGGCAACTATTTTGATCTTGCAGAACTCCACATGTTTGAGCTCCAGGCTAAGCAATTGGAGCCCGGAAATTTTCAAACTCCCTGCACGGACGTCACATGGAAGGAGGTCAAGGCAATTTTTCATGATCAAATTCTGGAGACAGGGAAACTTAGAAAAAGGATCAACGTCCTCCTCCTCACCAAAAGCCAGAGGGCAATACTGTAGCGTCAGTGTAGTCAACTTCTGGAAACCAAATGATGGGAATGCACTATCGATGGACGATGGCCACTCGATATAACTCCAACGTTCTGAGATTGTTGCAAATTGAGATCAACCTGAACACATTCGAGAACCTGCGACTTTGTTCTACATCATCATCATTCCACAGGTCAATCACTAAATGTTGAACATCATGGCGTGAGGCATATTCAACGACCCTGGCAAATAAAGGGTTTTCACGATATTCTCTTCCATCAAAATCCGTTTGTACACTATCGATATATCATATATGTCACCTTGTGGATATTACAGGGGTACCGGAGGGACGGAATCTTCTCCACAAACATCTCGAAAGGTTCATAATAGTAGAATGATTCGGAAGAGAGAAAAAGGGCGGGGACATGCTTCCAAGCACATCTCCACGCTCGGGACTATACTGAGGTTTGGACAGCGGATTTCGTCTCAAGAAATGAAAGTATGTGATAGATAATGAGGTTCGGAAGGTGGGTCAACCTGTCTGTAGCAGTAGAATCATTTTCACTATCACGGTGCCTTTTTCCAGCGTTCCCCAACTCGCCGCCAGAGCCGTCGGTCTCCATAACAGCCTTTCTACATTCTACTGGAGGCAAAAGACAGAGAGGATTTCGATTCTAGGAAACCTAAGAAGATAAATGGAATGATTAAGAACAGATATTGAAGCAAGTAATGAATTAGAAGTTCACAACTCTTGAATTCAAGGATAGATTACCGAGCGAGAGACCCTTGTCGTGTCCGAGCTAGAATGCTGAACAAGAAATCGCATCCCCGGCGGCGAATACAAACTGCGATACTGGTAGGGACGAATCCGCTGGAGCATGAACTGGAGAAGACTAGAGAGGAAAGCTACACATTCAGCTGTTCTCCAGTGACATATTTTAGGGTTTCGGTTCCGATGCAGTTCACAGGGAAATGGTAGTTGCAAGTTTTTTTAATCACTTATCCGGGGCCGGGATGATGAATAGGAATGACAATGGGGCAGGTCCGGGGCGGGTTTCTTGGTACCCAGATCCGCCTCGTGGCAGGTTGGGTCCAGGTCGGGTAATTGATCACGGGTCGCGGGTCGGGGCAGGTCGACCCAATGGGTATGCAATTTATATTAAAAATATTATAAATATTCGTTATTTTTATTATAAGACTAAGAAAACAAACAATAATATGACAATTGCAGTTAAATTATTGGAGAAATTGAGGTTTTTACTAATTTACAACTTTCTTATAGCTAAAATATGATGCAATAAAAGGAAAATACTAAGTAATTTGACTAAAATTACATGTAAATTAGACAAGAACGGGTCGAGAATGGGGCGGGTCAGGGCAGGTCGGGTCGATGAGACTACCCATGCACGGGGCGGGTCGGACCCGCCCCGAAACAGGTCAAACAGGTCGGGTAACACGGGTCAGGTCGAAATTGCCATCCCTAATGATGAAGAAGGATTAGTGGATTACTGATCAATTAGGCCCCCGATTTTTGGGTCCTTAGACAATTCACTCCCTCTATTTTAATTTCTAACTAACAAGTCATCTTGCATGTGGGTCACTTTTGCACCCATGCGCGAACTTGGCAGTTGGCTGTGCTTTTGGGCAGTTGGGCCGGCAGTAGGTGTCAAAACATAGCCCGACCCGATTAACCCGCCCAATCAACCCGATCCGCAACCCGACCGCAATCCGAATTGACTAAAAGTCAACAACTCGTAACCCGTCCGACCCGCAACCCGATTGACCCGCAACCCGACTGACCCGTAAGCCGATTAACTCGAACCCGATTGCCGCAACCCGATTAACCCGAACCCGACTAACCCGTAACCCGACCAACTCGACCCGAATTTCATCTAATCCACTTGAATAATTATAAAAATATACAATACATAGTTTTTCAAAATAAAATTTTTCATTCTAAACTTAAGTAAAATTATTTTTTCATTTTGTATAAGAAATTTAAAAAATATGAAACTCACTTGATATTACGTATTTTAAGAAAATTACCAAAATTGAAACATGAAGGTCACTTGAGATCATGACAACATTAATATAATATATAAATTAAAATTTTGGTTAATTTAACTATTCAATAAAATTATCAATTAAATATAAATAAAGTAAAGTAATGTATTTGGTAATTTGATGTTTTTAAAAGAAGAGGGAAATTTTGGTGTATTCAAGTTTTTGGGAAGAGAAAGAAGAGGGAAATTTGGTTATTTGAATTTTTTTAGAAAAGAAACAAGTGAGAATTTTGGTACTTTTTTATATGTGAGAAGAGAAAGAAGTGGGAAAGTTTGATTCTTTTGATTATGAAAGAGAAATAAGGAGGGAAACTTTTGACTTTTCAACTTTTTGTAGAAGGAAAGAAGAGGGTAATTTGGTTCTTTCAATTTTATGGAAGAGAAAGAGGACGGAAAATTGAGTTTTTCTAATGTATGGAAGGAGAAAGAATGAGGGAAATTTTAGAATTTTTGTGAAAAGAAAGAAGGAAACAAATTTGGTGTTTTCAATTTTTTGGTTTTTCATAATTTTAGCTTTTGAAATATGAATCTTTAACTTTTATATGGAAGGCATGACTAGTTAAAATTATTCTTATATGCTTTGAAGGCTAATATGTATATATGTATGTAATTGTTTATGGGCTAATAAATGAATTAACCATTAGTTACAACAATTTATACTAAACTTGATAAGTAATCTTTGATGGTTCGTGGTTTAGGATACGAAGTATATGGTTAGGGTATAAAGTACATATGGTTTAGGGTGTATATGGTTAGGGTATAAGATATTGATGGTTTTGACAGTTCTAAGTTTTTTATTAACATATGTTCACTTGAAGTCATTTGAAGTCTTTAACGGCAGGGGATCCCTTTTTAATTTATGTTTATGGTACGTGGTTATGGTACAAGGTATGTGGTGTACAGTATAGGATATATGGTTAGGGTATAACAATTAGCAAATATCACTTTTTATCTATGTTTTGAAAATCAAAGTATGAATTTCACTTTTAAATTAACTATACTAGCAAAATCACAACTCAAGGACATATGGTTAGGGTATAGGTTATGTGGTTAGTGTATAATGTATTGATGGTTTAGGGTATACAATCAACAACATATACTAACTTAATATTGTTGATTGAGGGTAAGGCTAAGTGTATAGGATATATGCTATTGAGTAAGTTATGATTGAAGTCACAATAATTTTACTAAATTTGATAGCTAATCTTTAATGGTTCAATTTTTAGGATAATTCGAACAATTTTACAAATAACTCGTTTGACAACAGTTTACTGAAGTTATTTGGGCAATGAGTTATTTTGAAATAACTCCTTTTATCACTATGCTTTTGCCAATTACCACACGCCAAATACCATATTTGCATGGTTATACTAAACGAGATACTTTAATTCAATTACTACTTAATTAATACTAAAATATCAAATAAACAATTAACGGTGTCTTTTGGTTGCAAATATTGATATCACCATTACTATTAGCTATAATACTTTACCAATTATGATTAATTACATAACAAGTTTACAAGTCATACAAATCGATTTAAAATTTTGACTAGTTTTTTTGAAAAAAATAAAGTATATATATACGAGGTAGAAATAAATTGGTTAAAAAGTTGAGAAAATATTAAATTAGTGTAATAAAATGTGTAAGTTGGTAATGAGTAATGAGTTAAGTTACTTGATGCGCTGGCCCGAACAACCCGAAACCCGAACAATTCCATTTTCCATATTCGAACTTTGCTTAATATTTATTAATGTTGTTATCTAGTTTCACGTTCCATCACGAGAAGTCCACAAGGAGGTTATTGGGGGGAAATGGAAATGGACTCGCGCCTTCTTTTCGTTTATGAAAAGATGCAATGTAACAAATTCGGAATAGTTCATCACTAATCCCAAGCTAATTTCATCCACGTCACCAATCCTCGTCCAAACAAAACTCTTATCATTGTCATCGATTGAACATCATCTACGGTGGGGACTACTTCTCACTTTGTGGCCCGGATTGGTTATCACAATAGATACCAATTGAATTCTTTCCAACCCATAAATATTTACGGGAAGCTTTCCTTGATTTTTTTAACAACCATTACTATCATTTTAATTAACTCACAATAGTAAAATTTAAAATTTTGTTAAGTTAATCTAAATTATATATCCTCACATCACGTGAAAGATGGAAATATCTAGAGGAGGAAGTGCATATTTACATTTGTTTGGATTGATCTATATTGTCATCCAATTTTCGTTTGGGGTAATTTATATTGCTCCCTAAAAATGTTGAGATAGGAAAAAGTGTTTTTCTTCTTTGCTTTTAGAGTGTTATTTTATTTATTGAATATATGGTTTGTTAATAATGTCTATTGGTTGCAAATGTTGATATCTCCATTGCTATTAGCTAGTTTACTTTACCAATTACGATTAATTACCAATTCATTAGTTCACATTTCACAACAGCCATAAACCAATTAATTACTTCACAGCAGCAGCAACAAGTTGGAGACAACAGAGGCAAGCACTGAAGATGTTTCGAAACATGGCATAGAAGGTATAGGGTATGTGGTTAGTGTATAATGTATTGATGGTTTAGGGTATTCAATCAACAACATATACTAACTTAATATTATCGATTGAGGATAAGGCTAACTGTATAAGATATATGTTATTCAGTAAGTTATGATTGAAGTCACAATAATTTTACTAAATTTGATAGTTAATCTTTAAGACAATTCAAACAATTTTACAAATAACTCGTTTGGCAATAGTTTACTGAAGTTATTTGGGCAATGAGTTATTTCAAAATAACTCCTTTTATCACTCTGCTTTTGCCAAATACCACAAACCAAATACCATATTTGCATGGTTATACTAAACAAGATACTTTAATCCAATTACTACTGAAATAATACTAAAATATCAAATAAACATTTAATGGTGTCTTTTGGTTGCAAATATTGATATCACCATTACTATTAGCTAGTGTACTTTACCAATTATGATTAATTACATAACAAGTTTGCAAGTCATACAAATTGATTTAACATTTTGACTAGCTTTTTTTAAAAAAATTAAGTATATATATACGACGTAGAAATAAATTGGTTAAAAAGTTGAGAAAAATATTTTAAATTAGTGTAATAAAATGTGTAAGTTGGTAACGAGTAATGAGTAAGTTACTCAATGCGCTGGCCCGAACAACCCGAAACCCGATCCGCCCGCAACCCGCCCGACCCAAAACCCAATGAACCCGCAACCCGTTTGTCCGCAACCCGATTGAACCCGAACCCGATGAACCCGCAACCCGATTAACCCGCAACCCGTTTGAACCCGAACCCGATAAACCCGCAACCCGACTAACCCGCAACCCGTTTGAAACCAAACCCGATTGAACCCAGCTCGAACCCGCCCGAACCCGCCCGATTGACACCTATAGGCAGGACTCGAACCCGTTAATTTTCTTGCGGTGTTGGTTCATTTTTAGTTTTGCTAGGTTTGGGTAGAGGTTGAATGTCTCGTGCTTTATTATTAAACTCGTGTAATAACCAATATCTCGTTTGTTTCTACTTGATTTGTGTATCACAATTTGTTTTTTTTTTTTTTCATTACTGGAGGCATCAAGCCAAAGAAGGGAGAAGGTTACAGGGGGAGAGAGACTAAGAGGGGGTAGGAGAGTTCGAAACCACCACATTTATAGAATTATGCTTAGAGATGGCAATGGGGCGGGTTTGGGGCGGGTTTGCTTAAACTATCCCCATACCCATCTTCAAATACCCAAACCCATACCCGCCCCATACCCATGCGGGGGAATGTTTTGCAAACCCATCCCCATACCCGTGGGTTTCGGGTACCCATGGGTAATACCCATACCCGTACATCCAACATTATTATACCTAAAACTTACAAGAAAAG